AGCCCCAGGCCTCTGTTCCTCCAAAGTATTTAATTCCTTCCCATGATGGTATAATGCCCGCTATTAAAACAATGCGTGTAGGTTTCCAAATGGCAATCGCTTCCCTTCAGGGTCAATGATCTCAGCAGTCACCCCCCCTGCCTAATGGGGTAAAAGGAGATTTCTTTGGGTCAAGGGGTGGTGGTGGTGGAGAGATTTGGGTTTTTAAGACTACTGCTCTCAGCATCTCTTCTCCCCCCCCTCTCCAGACACCATGGCCTGTGGGAAATTTTGAAGCACTGTAGCCAGGGGGGGTGAAAAAAAAAAGCAACAACCCTCACCATTCCACAAAATGGCACAATGTGCACACAGGCTTCTAAGAGAGTGCTTTGAACTCCTTTAGAACTATAGTGTACAAATCCACCCCAATTTCATCATTGAATGGACACACCACTAATGCACTAAAGGTCTTGCAGCTGAAGCCTCCTTCGCCTACCTGTTACCTTTTGCTCCTTAAATGATTTTCGACACTGGATGGGCCCTGTCCCTCTTCCCTTTATTGCCTGTTTATTTATTTAAAATATTGTTACCCCCGCCTTTCTGCTTAAGGAGCACCCAAGGCAGTTTACGGCTTTTAAAAGGCAACATTTAAAGCTAAATATAGTAAATTTAAAATATTGTTACCCCTGCCTTTCTCTTTAAGGACAACCAAGGCAGTTTAAAAGGCAGCATTTAAAGCTAAACATAGTAAATATGCAAAAAAAGGAGGCTCTGTGTTAATGTGGTAGCATCCTCTGATTATAATGACCCTGATAGGGTTTTGAAGGCATGAAAGACATTTAAGAGCCGTTGCACACCCCTAGGGAGCTTTCATGCTATGGCAAAGCAAGACCCTTGAACCCACATCTCTAGTTCTAGTCTGCCACTCTATCCACTACTCAACACACTCACACTAACCCCCCCCCCAAAAAAACCCTATAGTTTGTTGCTCGAATCACGGGGACGCAGGAAGCTCCTTTCATAACTGATTTTAAATATCCATAAGGATAGTATCATGAGCAGAACTCGAAAATGCCATTTATGCATTCCATTAAGGTCCCTTGACATTTTACTTTTAAAGCATTTCTGACATACACCCCAAGTCCTCTCCCATGTCATAGGTAGCCTAAAATGAGCTTCCCTCCCCCCACTGCTTAAATGGGGGCCCAAAGAACAGGCCCCTTCCTCTTCCCCCTCCCCTGCCCTATAGGCTCACGCCACCCCCTCGACCCATTTCGCAGGCTCTCTCTGCAGAAATCGCACCGCATTCCCTAAATTAAAGAAAAGGGAGGTTACCTTTGGCCATGATCCGCGGTTTCTAAAGCTAAACCAGGTTCACACGTAACACTCACGCCTAAAACAGGTCCCCCCTTTTTTCTGACAACTTCGAACAAGGGAAGAAGGGGGGGGCTTTTGTCCCGCCTCCCCGTGTAACCAACTGCTTCCAAAACAGAGGCAACCCGCTCTCTTCTTGTTGTCTCATTGGCCTCCCGTCGGCTGCCACTCAGACCGTTCCGGCCTCTGATTGGGCCAATATTAAAAGACCCTTAGGTTTCCCCTTGAAGTTCTGCGGCGGGTCCCAAGAAGGAGTGTTTCAAATGAGCGTTCGGACGCCGCTGATTGGTCGGGGAGGAGACAAGCTGCCATGGGATTGGAGGAGAAGGGCTGCGGCTGTTCCTCCTCGGCGCCACGTGGGTGGAAGTTGGGACTGCGTCCTTCGTGGTTTCAGGATATAACCGGTGGGGAAATCTGAGATCGGAAGGTGTGTTTACACGGAACCTACTTTCGCACATGTCCATCTTGCAGTCCTGTATATGTGTTCCGACTAATGTTGCCGGTACTTCCGGGGCAGTAGATGTTGTGGGTATATATTGAGCAAGGATTTGGGGGAAAGAAGTGTTTTTTTTAAAAAACTAAATTTTATTTTATTATTTTCGAGCCTTTCAAATTTTACGTTCCTCTCATACAGCGCATTTCGTGACTTTAGGCCGGCCCAATTCTTTCTAGCTCCCACTGTGGTAGGGCTAAAGCGGAAAGGAAGGCAGACGGTCGAGTAGGCTTGCTGGATCTCACGGAAGGAAAAGTGCGAGAGAACATGGCTAATGAATCATCACTCGCTAAAGAAAGTTCGAAGAGTGTGCTACGCAGGAATGATCGAACCCCAGGCTAAGCAACACAAGGAGGGGAGTGGGGGGAAGAAATCAAATCATTTTGAGAAATGAGCAAGCAGCTCTGGCTCGACTTTTAACCAAATTTCATACGTAGTAGGAATAACGGGAATCTTCCCCAGCTGATTGGGAAACCTATACGTTCGTTTTCTCTTTTCTAATGGAATATTTGGATAGTTTTGCGCTCTGCAACATCCGTATGGATCATCCTCCAATAGAAGCGTGCATCTTTCTTTATTCTTTGGAATAAGATTGCTTAGTAAAGTGCCTGTTTTCACCATGTGTCTATAGGCTAAATACAGTGCATTCTGATTAATAGCAACGGGACCGCAGGGAAGCTTCTCTGCCCCTCCACTGAGCCTGCGCAGTTCGACACCGAAAAGGAAACCGTCATTGCAAGTTGCCGCAGTAATGCTGCGTGTGACGACAGCATGGGGCCCTGTCGAAGGTTTCGCGTCGTTGAATGTGGGTGGTGTGTTTTATTGTGGGTTTTTTGTTTTTTTTTTTGGCTTTTGACCTCCTTGATCATGGCTCCTTTTCCAAAGATCCTCCTTCCCGTCGTTCCCCGCGAAAGCGAAAAATCTCGCGAGGCTTCCCCCACCACGGCGCTCCTTTACGACGCAGGGGGCGGCCATTTTGGAAGTGAGCCTGGATCACGTGGTGCCCAACGGTCGTCTCCCCTCAGCTTCCTCTTCGCCCCTCCCAAGGGGAAAAAAAATATCTGGGCCTAGGTCAACTCTGGAGCCTGAAGAATGGCGTTTCCCCGACCAGCCGAAAAGCCGCCTGCCCGCTCCGCCGAGGGGATTTCAACCACAACGCCGGAGCCTTCCAGGAACTTTCCAGCCGGGGAGAGATTTTGTGTCTTTTATTTATTATTATTTTTGCCCTTCTTTTTTCCCGCTTCTCCCTCCCCTCCCCGCCTTTCCTTCCCAGCCTTCTGAGGTAAAATAAACCCAAAGAGGCCGAGAGGAGACGGGAGGGTGTGCCACGTGACCCAGCGAGGCCTCCAACAGCGCAGCCTGAGCCCCGGACGCGGAGACGACGACGACGAAGAAGAAGCTTGGCGAGGAAGAAGGCAGGCAGGCAGGAAGCGGAGGAGGGGAAGGGGAGAGAGAGGGGGAAAGAAGAGAGGCCGCGCCTGCGCACTCCGAACTTTCCCAGGGACGAGGCGGCGAGAGGAGAGTGTAGCCGCGCGAGGGTCACGTGGCTGCCGCGCGGCCGGAGGAGGTGCGAGAAGGAGTGGGAGGGAGGGAAGGGGGCTCCTCTTTTTTTCCCCCTCAGCGTCTAGTCGACTTCCCCACTAGGTCACGTGGGGTGTGGCGTCACCTTTTCGCCGCGGCGGCGCCTGCGCTCTCTTCAGAGCATGTTACCATAGTCTCTCGAGACTGAAGGATGCCTAATCTGAATCTTTCTTAACAATCAGACAGTCAATGTTTTCTCTCTCTCTCTCTCTCTTTCTCTCTCTCTCTCTTTCTCTCTCTCTCTGCGCAGCGCCGGCCAGAGTGAGTCCGCGCCGCTCCCCCTCCCCTCCCTCCAGGTCCTTTCCGAGCGCCTTGTTTTCCTCCTCCGTGTGGGTTTCCCTTTCTCTTCCTGAGGGGGGAAAAAGGCGAGTCGAGACCGCCTCAAGCTCCCTCCCGCCTGCCTTCCCTTCCCGCCCCCCCTTTTTTAACCCCCCTGTATGCCCTCACGTTGTTCCCTCCCCCCCGAGGGACAGGATCGCGCCCTTCCCTCCTCTTCCTCCCCTCAGAGGAAACAAGCGCCCCTTCCTTTCCTTTCCCCTCAGCGAGGAGGATTAGGAAGAGCCCGGGATCTCGCTCAGAGCCGCAGAGAGGAACGGCGGGAGGGTTTGGAGGTGCCGTGGAGGGGGGGGGAAGAGAAAGACATGCAGCTTTTCTGACTCCCTCACCCTTAGACCAGCCTCGCCTCCATCATCCTAACAGCAAGAAGGATGAGGGGCTGTGGTCAAATGGGGGTGTCTCGGACAGGCTGCCCCCTTGCCCAGGCTGAGATCTGTGGATACCCTAATAAGCAACATGCATAAATGTGCGCCCACAGACACATGGACACCTATATGCACGCATACGGTCACATATGTTATGAGTAACCAAGAGAGAATATATGTGCATATTCCTTCCTGCAACTGTTGGGCTGGGCGTGTATGTTGTTTATTTGTTTATTTCAGTTAGCCTCCTGCCGTGCCTCCGTTGAGCCCACATGGCTCCCCCTCCTAACCCTCCAGGCTATCCCGTGACGGAGGCTAGAGGTGGAGAGGATGTGCTTGAGTTTCCTTGCCAAGGCCAGGCTTGAACCCTTGCCGCCTGTACGCTCCTGTCTCTGGAAGCCACTTGCTGAGGAAAGGAGTCGCTGGGCTGAGGCCCTTTTGTGGTTTTGGTGTTTTGTTTTTTTACGTTGTCATCCTTGTCCTCCCATCTTTCAGGTTTTCCAGCCGACTTTTATCCCAGATTGTGGGGGAAGGATAGTGATCTTTAGGCCCAGTCACGGGGATAGGAAAGTCTCCTTGGTAGGAGGAGATTTTGGAAACAGACTAGGTAGTGCACAGGTTGTCAGTTGAGCTGCAGTGCCAATGCTAAGAGTGACCAGGCAGCAACGAGGGAGCTTCTCAGCTTTGCCCCTGGCAGGAACATATTTGCACACAGAGCTCTTCTTCAGTGAGTAGGCAGATATACTTGTGTGAAATAGGTTGCACGCTTTAGCTTTGATTCCCCCTTTGTCAAATGATGCCTGTAGCTCTCTCATTGGATGAGTGGGAGAGTCCTGAAGAGAACATAATGCCCTTTAAAGGGGGAAGCTGGCTGCTGTTTGTTCCTCCTGGCTGACTAAGCAGAAATGCTTTCTGTTCCCTTGTGCGCCCAGCTTTCTTTACTGATCTCTTTGGTAAAGCCAGGTTAAGTCTTCCTTCAGCACCTGGAAGCTTTATGCCTAACCAGAATTTTCGCTGAGCCCTTTCCATGCTTCATCTGCCCTCCTGCTTGCTCCTCCTAAGGGGATTTTTAACACTTGGCCAGGCATGCACAGTGTGGCTTCTAACCCAACCCGGAAGTTTATGTCCTGTACACGTGGTTCATGTGGAAGTCTTAATATCAAATGTTCCTCCTAGGAACTTTTCTGTGTAGTTGAGTGTACCTCACTGGAGGCTTTCAGGAATCTGAGCACTCAGTCATAGTTGCTTGGAAGACATTTAAAAATGTACATATTTGCATAACAGCGGTTTAACTACATTAGTGTAATCTATCCTCTGCTTTCAAACAGAAGACCCTAGTGAAGGAATTGTTGGAAGCTTCATGGGGAAAGTGTTGTATTATTTCTTAAATAATTTTAAACAATCTACTTTAAAATTGGTGTGGTTGTCGTGTCTTGTAAGACCAAACATTTTCTGCTTTGGAGAGCTAATGCTTTTAGAAAGTAATTGAGTTCAGCTTCAAGTCCTGTTTAGTATAATCAGTGAAATCTTCATCTGCAATTCTTAGTTTGATTTAGTATGGAGTGCACACTGAAATTAATGTGTTGTGTTGTCCCACCAAGCATAGTGTAGGCTATATATTTCAGTAGTTGTTTAAATGCACAAGCATGCAAACATTGACCAAATTCGTGTTTAGCAAATTGTCAACTCAACTTTTTTAAAAATAGCCATTTTCCTCATTCACAGTTTCAACATTGTTGTCTGCTGCTTGTTTGCTTGGAGAGGAAGAGATAAGAGCTTGGTGATGTTTTACATTTACAGATTTCTTTTTCTCTAGTGATTTTAATATTAGAGTTGATTGATTGATTCATTGATTGATTGGATTTTTACTCCACCCCTCTAGACCATATCTACTCGGGGCGGCTTACATAGATAAAACAAAACAATATAATATATAAAATATATAAAATTATGAAGTCCGTACATTAGCAAGCCAGCATGGATACTTTGCCTTGTTTCGTGCAGCGACAAAGGGACTGATCCAAATGCAAACTTTCTTGTAAACGAAACTGTGTCTCCTCCAGTGTCACTTAGCTACAATGTTGAATGTGGTCAGCTTCTAGCAACAAGAAAGCATCCGGTTGATGGCTCTAGCCAGTAAATGTATAAAGCTTCTTACATATTTTTCAATAGTCCTGAAGAATAGAAGGAGAAGAAGCAGCCAGTGCAGTAACATCCATGTCAGGAGGTTTAAACATAGAAAGTATTGGGCATCAAATGAGTGAAATCTGCAAACATTTTTTGTAATTGGGTGAGATAAGTGTGGTCACCTGGAACATGGGTCCCAGAAGGGACACAAGGAAGCATCGTTTTGTGGCATTCTAGGATAAGAGCAAGAACAGGCGCCTTAAAGGTTTGGCGCCATGAGGCGTCAGGTCCAACTTAGCTTCTTACTCAGAAACCCAGTTGCAAAATCACTGCTCCCAGTACCCATGGGGGGAGGTAATTATTAATGGTGGTGCATGTTCAGGTGATAAGAATCCAACACTCTGGAAGTGGGGGTTGTTTGATAGAAAGATTGTCCATCACTGGGCTTGGAGAACTGAACATGCCTTACTCTTAACATGGGCTGTGGTCAGAATCTTTGCATCCTGAGAGCGTAGTTGTATGCAGAGTTCTGCTTCTCTCCCTGACACTTCAATGTGAGCTAATTCCAGGTACATCCCAGATTGTATCATGTTGGTTCTTGAGAGCAGACACTCCAAAAGAAGAGGGACTCAAGTTGACTGTCTTTACCTGATAGAAAGTACAACTCTTTGCAAGAGGGCTTTGCCTGTCATATCCATATAGCCACTGTGTGGCATTCTGTGTGTTTCTCATTTTAGATACAGGAATATTCGGGGAATCTTATAGCGAAGCCACTTGTGGCAAAATGCAACTAGGAAAAAAAAATGCTTCTTTTACCATAAGTCATCCTTGCAACTTAAATGGCCTAATTATAATTTCCTTTGTTCTAGAAATGGTGGAACCAGGACAAGATCTGCTGCTTGCTGCTTTGAGTGAGAGTGGAATCAGCCCTAATGACCTGTTTGATATTGATTCTTCAGATACGATGGGTCTCGCAACCCCTACTCCAGCTGTTCAGCAGGTTGAAACACTTAAATTTGTTACTGCATTGTAAGACTGACCCGAGTTTCTTTCTTTCTTTTTTTTTAAAAAAAGAGTATGAGTCTCATTCTGCTGGGTGATTAAGAAAGGAGAAGTTGGACGTTTTAATAAATGCTTGTTTGATACGTACTGAACGCGGCAGTTTGCGATCTGTGCGTTGTGATCCTTGTGAAAATTCAGATTAGCACTAATCCAGTTGCAAACATCCTAACTAGCCACACATCAGCCTTTCTCGGCTTCCAAGGCAATGAGCTGTAGTCGGTTTAAAGCTCGAGGTGGAGAGATGTGTTAGAGAAAAATAGTTGAGAGTTGCTTGTAAGCTTAAAATTTGATAGGTTCATTTGTTATAAATGAATATCCTTGATAGCTTCCCCCTGTAAGCATGGCACATTTTCAGTTGCTGCCTAAGTTGTTGCTTCTGTGAATGTCAGGATTTAAAGTGTTCAGTGCTGTGATTCTCTGTGCATTTCTTGGGAGACTATGCTTTCTTGTTTCTATGTAGGATTCAGTAAATATGATTTCATTGTCAGTGTGGAGTTTTCATTTGCCTGAAGCACACTGAAGTGAGAGAGGAGCAGTTCTCTTAGTTATTTTGTGCCTATATTGTATGCGGTGCATGCACATCCAGAACCTTTGAAATACATCTTCAGGTTAGAGGCAAATCAAGCGTGCCTGTTGTGTGTGTCCAAGGTATCTTATCAACCTCATTTTTTTTGTGTCACTCTTTTTAGTCAATCCCACTTAGTGCATTAGAACTAGGCTTGGAGGCCGAAGCGTCCGTTGCTATTAAAGCAGAACCGCAGACTCCGTCTTCTCCAACCGTGTTGAACATCAGGGTAAGCAAAATGAATTCCTCGGCATTTGACTTGTGTCTCTGTGAGGAACTTCATTGTGTTTACAAAAACTTTAATGGGTCACCGTTTTGTGCCTGTCTTGCAGGATAGTTTGCCTAGTCGAGTCTTCTGCTTAAAAGCATGTTATTCTTAGTTGGCAAGTAACCAAAGTGTATGGTGGAGTTCAAAGATCGTAGCTAATGCATGGCATGCTAATATGTGTGTGTAGTATTCCTGAGAAAGGTGATTATTTACTTGAGTGTATTAATAGTTCCTACTTGTTCTTAAGTGGTTTTTCATTAAACTGCTTGTGGCATTAGAACGGTCTGTGCAGGCCAGTAACAGGTGTCTGTGTTTTGTTCTTTGAGTGAAGAATCTTGTCTTTATAAAATGACAATTGTGCTGATGAAAAGATATCCCTTGTGAAGTTTCATTCTACAAATAGAAAGTCCTTCTATTCACAGAGTGAAAACATTGGTGGCTACGTATTACAGTGGACCCTCAACTTACAGACGGCTCGACTTAAAGACTTTTCGAGTTACAGACTTCTCTGGCTGCAAAATTTAGATTCGACTTGCAGCTGGAGAATCGAGTTACAGACCATAAAAAAAACAAAATGGAACAAAAATAGAATAAAAACTGCCGGTTATGAGATTAATCGGTTTTCAGTGCATTGTAGGTCAATGGAGATTCGACCTACAGACTTTTTGACTTGCAGCCACCGTTCCAATACGGATTAATTCCGTAAGTAGAGGGTCCACTGTATTAAAGAAACAAGTCAATGTTTTAAAAAGGAAGCTTAACATTGTATCTTAATTAAAGGTTGCGAGAATTATAGGTATGAATGATCACACATCAGAGCGGACCATCATAAGTGCTATCACGGCTGATACCACGGTAGTCTATTGGCAGAGTATTTTGATCTGCACATTTTACGTACCGCTTTTCCATAAGCTGAAGAGTATTTCTTAATAACGTATGGGAGAAAAGAAAATGCTTAGACCTGTTTCCCAAGCTCTTCAAGTGGTTCAGCTGTTTCCCAAGCTACTTAAGTGAATTAGGAAAGCATCCGATGTTCAAGGAATGACTGCCATATACTAGGGTGAGATCTTGAAATGACAAGAATCCTTTGTGTTTCTTTCTATAGCAACCACCATCGACCACAACTTTTGTGTTGAATCAAATAAACCAGCTCCCTACCTTGGGGACTACTATAGTAATGACGAAAACAACCCCCGTCACCACTACCAGGCAGACGATCACTGTAGCAAAGATCATACAGACCAGCACCACAACCCGGCCATCGGTCACCGTGCCAGTGGCCCGGAACACCGTGACTACCACAACCTCCAAGGACCAGATCCAGCTGAAAGATCTGCTGAAAAATAATAGTCTTAATGAGTTGATGAAACTGAAGCCACCTCCTAACATTGCCCAGCCGGTTGCAACAGCTGCAAGTAAGTGGCAGTTGCACACACCCCTGTCGGATTGTGGGATGGAAGGGGTTCTTAAGTGGGACCTGAGAAGAATAGCCGGTTGCAACAGCTGCAAGTAAGTGGCTGTTACACACACCCCTGACGGATTGTGGGATGGAAGGGTTTCTTTAGTGGGGCCTAAGTAGAATAATATGGGATTTTTTTTAATTAAACGGCATTATCTCTCTGTTAAATCTTTGATCTGTAATCACGTACAAAGAGTAAAAGCAAAGTGGCATGCAAACGTGGAGAGGCTGGATTCATTACTGTCGCTTTTGCAAATCGTTTAGCAGAGTGAAAACTGTCCTTCTGTACTTAAGCAGCATGTTGGTGCATATTGATGGGTTGCTTTCCTCTTTCTGCTAACAAGAGAAGGTGAATAAATAGTAATACACATTTGTTTGTGATGAATAAACCAGGAACCTTGGTTTGCCTGCTGAAAGATAAGCCAGTCATGACTTAAGGTTAGCTTGTTTGGGAGAGAGACAAGTTTGAGGTCCCGTCATAAACCATGGATGGATGACACGGGGCCTTGCTTAATTGCTCCAGCTTGTAGGTGGAGTTGATAACAGCAGTTGCTTGAAGAAGATCAACCTAAATTGTTTAGAATTTATGCTTAGAATATAATGTGTGCGTGGAGGTAATGTGAGCTGACTTCCAGTTTGCATAGTATGTAGCAGAACTGCTGTTTTTAATAGAAGCCAATAGGTAGCCGGCATCATAAGTTTCAAGTGGTCCCTTCATTAAGGGAAATCTCTCCTTAACAAGATTTCCTTTGAGTGAAAACTAAAACAGAAAATACATCTAAACTGGAGAAAAAGAGAATGGTATATTCTTGGGAATGAATGTGCTGGCCTACTAAGATAGGCTAAACCTGTGTTTGAAAATTACCATGGGGCCCAATACCAAGCTGTATTCTTGCTGTAAAAAAAATTGCTCTGAATCTAACACACATTCTGGACCTTTTAATCAATATTGTGTACTGTCACTATATTATTAATTTGGTTAGAAGGGGACTACTAAATTTTGTTTATTTGAAAAAACAGTTGAGATCCAAAATACTAGCTTTTTAACAGAAATTAGAATAGTGCCTCCAAAGGTGGTAAAATGCCACCAAGCCAGGTAAGAACACCTGCACTGTTAAAACTGGGAGCCGGGCTTCCTTTTCCTAACCTCCATTTGTCAAACTTGAGATGATGCATATTGTAGCTCTGGGGGGGGGTTTCTTCTGCAGCTACATCCTTCTGCAACTACATCATGCCCATGATAGGCTTATGTTGAGAATCTTGGTGTTCATTTCTTCAGGATTGCTTAAAAACTTGTGCATCTTGGAACAGTGTAAAGCTCAGCCTTCTACACAAATGTGGGTAAGGTTTGAGTAAACTCTAGTGTTAGGGTTGTTAAATGTTATTAACTTGGAATATTATCCTTGCAGCTGATCTGAGCAATGGTGCTGTGAAAAAGGACACCTGTGCTAAAGAAGTAGCACGAATATGGGTAAATGATCTAAAAATGAGAAGCTTTTCTCCTACAATGGTAAGTGGAAGTTCATACACAAGAAATATACATTACTCTGGAATTTGAGTGCCTGGAATTCTAGAAAGGAGGCTTTAAGGCCTCTACTCCTTCTATAATAAATAAAATTTTTCACGCATTTAAGATTATTGAAATTTTTTTTCCTGTCCATTCAGACATGAGAGGAGTACCTACTGGTTATCTAGGCCTTTCATATCTTTAGTACTCTCTGCTCAGCTATATTCGCTAGGTGCCTATTCCGCTGAGGTTTCATTGCTAATAGAAAAAATATTCACTGAAGTTTTCATGGCATTTCTTCCATATGTGATGAATTATCCAACCTTTCTGTTATCTCTGAAACCAGAGGTGGGTAACTGTGGCTTCCCATAAATTTTCACAGTATACAGTCGGACCACCATATCCGCATGATCGGTATCTGTTGTCTCAAAATATAAAAAGAAAAGGCCCCGAAATATTTATATCCATGACATAGTTACCAGAACTGGCCACAAATTGGAGCCAGATATCATGCCTTGCGCAGGGTTTGCTATTAACTACGGTTTGCAGCATCTTGGGGGGGGGGAGCTTTGGGACTGACGAACACAACCCCCACCCTAGATACAGTGGTCATACTATAACTGCATAATCTTCCCCATGGACTGTCCCAGCTACGGCTGATGGGGGTTGTAGGTGAATTAAAATGTAGGGGGACTTGATTCCCTGACGTTGGTTTTTGATTGTTTTGCCTTGATACCTTGATGTTTATGTTTCAGTGTGCAAGTTTTTTGTTGTTGTTTATGCTGTAAACTGCCTTAGGGGGCCTGTTTGGGGGGAAATGTGGCCTATCGTATTAAGGACTGGGCCGCATGGTCACTGACGGGAATATCGGATGATGAATTGGCTGTTGCACTACATCAAACATCTCTTGCATTTTCTCAAACAATACTTTTCAGTGTTTCAGCATCAAAATTATTAATGTTCCTTCAGACACCTCTCCCGAAGCGCCATAGGTAGAGACACCCAAGATTGAGAGTCTACATATAGTGTATTAAGACAGAAGTTGAAATCATCTGTATTCCTTAACAGAGTTTGCTTATTAGTCTTTCGTGCTTAAGATACAAACTTTGCAGCTGCTTTAAATCACATAAGATTATTTATGTACTAGAAAGATGACTCTGTTCCACTCTGAGCACCACCTTTGGGAAAGCAGCAGTCAGAGTTGGGGGAGCCCCTTTTTATCCTCATTGCTCTGTGAATTAAGAGGTAGTGAACAGCGTTGTAAGGAAAATTAACCTGTTTCAAGTGCAAAGCCTTTAAAGGGCATTTTCTTCATTGAAGTTTGTGTCAGGCTCAAGTCAAATTGAACAGTGTCTTAAGCTTTGCTGCCACGTGGCATTTACACAGTTTAATGGATGCTCATCTCTGCTGCAGAAGATGCCAGTTGCAAAAGAGGAAGAAGAACCTGAAGAAGAAGACGAAGAAGAGATGGGCCATGCGGAGACTTACGCTGAATACATGCCCATAAAATGTATGTTTGGGGGGGGGGGTTGCCACCTTTTGTTTATTTACTTATAAATGAGTAGAAATTGTGGTGTGTCTAAAGTAAAGCAAGTGTTCCTTTTGTAGATAGACCACTTTCCCTCTAGTTTTTTTAACAGTGGGGAATTTCAACCTCACTCTGGGTGGCTGGGAGAGCACTTAGACCAGCGCCTTGGCTGTTCGTTCATTCCACGTATTCAAACCAACTGCTTTTATACTTCATCAGGCTTGTGTCTGAGGTTATACTTGAGAGTTTTAGGTCAGTGAAAGTAAAGTTGAAGTTGCTACACGTTCTCCTCTGTAACTGAAGAGGCCTTGGAGGGTATTTAGCGAAAGATATTTCTAGGCATCTAACCCACCTTCCTCCTCCACACAGTGAAAATTGGCCTGCGGCATCCGGATCCAGTGGTCGAAACTAGCTCCCTCTCCAGTGTGACCCCTCCTGAAGTCTGGTACAAGACCTCAATTCCCGAAGAGAGCATCGATAGCGGCTGGCTGTCGGCCTTGCAGCTGGAAGCGATTACATATGCAGCACAGGTCTTGGATCTTTACTTAAAACCTTTGTTGAGGGTATGGCCTTGGTTCACTAACCAGTCAGGTCCTGTTTAACTAACAGAAAGCCAGTGCATCACCTTCTCCTCCCACCCCCGCTATGCTGAGTTTTATTGTGCCTTTGATTTTTATTTACAGTATTATTATTTTTTTGCAGCAACATGAAACATTCCTACCTAATGGAGACAGAGCTGGCTTTTTGATAGGTGACGGGGCAGGTGTAGGAAAGGGAAGGACTATAGCCGGAATAATATATGAAAACTACCTCCTGGGTAGAAAAAGGGCAGTTTGGTAAGTATGGAACCATTATCGCTGTTGTGGTTGCTATTACAGTGGTGCCTTGCTTAGCGACGTTAATCCGTACAGCAAAAATCGCTGCTAAGCGATTTCGTCGCTAAGCGATTTTAAAAAGTCCATAGAAACACACTGAAACTGCTTCAGTGCATTCCTATGGGCTCCAAAACTAACCTTATGCGAAAATCCTCCATTGCAGCAGCCATTTTCGGTGCCTCTAAAGCGAGGCAACACAGCGGGTGGCCATTTTGGAACCGCCGATCAGCTGGCCCAAAATGGGGGCTTTGCGATGATCGCTTCCCTGCGATCATTGCAAAGCGAATTTTTCCCACAGGGGCCATCGCAAAGCGATTGCTTTTGCAATCGCAAAACAGCGTCGCAAAGCGATTTCTTCGCTATGCGGAGCGATCGCTATGTGAGGTGCCACTGTATTATTATTATGGTGATGCTGGCCATGATGATTATCATCCACGGTTCAACTGCAGTAGTGCAGTCAAAACTCTGCTCACAACCCAGGTTCCATCCCAGGTAGCTGGCTCAAGGTTCACTCAGCCTTCCCTCCTTCTGAGGTTGTTAAAATTAGTACCCAGCTTGCCGGAGATGGGGGAGTGTGTAGCCAGAGTGCTTTGAGCGCTATGGGGTAGTATATAAATAGCATGCTTTGCTTAATTGTTATTATGTTTCATTTATATGCTGCCTTTCTCCTATAAGAAGACTCAGGGAGGCTCGCAATAATAAAAATACAAGTAAAGTTAAAAGGAAATAAATAAACCCTAAGTTGGTGAAAGTACCTTGAAAAGAACACTTAAAAAAATCAGTATTTTTATATCCATGTCCTTGGTGTTTTCTGTATTGTTTATTTTTATTTTTTATTTTGCTTTCCTTCTCACAATTGGTTGTCTTTTCTCTCTTCTAGGTTTAGTGTTTCAAATGATCTGAAATACGATGCAGAGCGAGATTTGAGAGATATTGGAGCGAAAAACATTTTGGTCCATTCCCTAAACAAGGTGTGGAAACTTTTTTACTAGGCACAGTGGGGTCGAAAGCATTAGGTAACGCTTGTGTGAGCGGCAGATTAAAACGTGTGCGTCTTGGATGTTCTACTGACACCAGCCCTTCTGCAGTTTCGTTGCCTTCCTGCCTCAGTTTCTGCGCCAGTGCGCGTTTGCTTAGAGTATGTGGTTGCGGTAGCTGCGCCAGTGGGTGTTAATCGGTCATCCAGATGTTGCCGCTACCGTAGACCTTGATGTGTGTTGCTGTGCATTTTGTCCACAGTTGTAGAAACACATAGGCCACTATCCTAGTGCTGGTTCCAATTATTCTAGACCCATTGATTCAGTGGTGTTTATCTGTGGCGTTAATCTGCAGCTGGTTCAGTGCGTCTGTGAACTAGAAATAGGGTATTGGCCCCCGGGGTTAAGCCCAGTGCGTTGCATGCAGTAGCAGTGGGGCTTTCTCCCCTTGTTTTTCGTTGCACTTTGTTTTGCCAGAAATCTGCTCAGGGTAGATATCCCCAACCCTTTTAAATTGGATTTGTAAAGTCTGGATTGAGGGGTGACTTTTATTGACAGAAGCACCCATTGATTGCAGATTTACAGACTGAAGGGCATTGCATTTGCTGTTAGCTTGGGAACACCTGATTAGAAACTCACTTCCAATAAATGCTTCAGGATATAGGCTGGAATTAGGAAACCCAAGATTAAGATACATTGTTTGCCTAATATTGCTTTCATGCCGTTATCTGTGAATCCTTAAACAACACTATGCTTAATTTGCCTTAATAGGAAGGGGAACGGTGGATGTAAAACTTTGTAACCAGAGCTTGGAGATGTTACAGTTGTGGCGTTTCACACTTTTAACTTTGTTTTCTTTTCAGTTCAAATATGGAAAAATATCTTCCAAACATAATGGGAGTGTGAAGAAAGGGGTCATATTTGCCACTTACTCCTCCCTTATTGGGGAAAGTCAGTCGGGAGGTAAATACAAAACCAGGCTCAAGCAGCTTCTTCACTGGTGCGGAGATGAGTTTGACGGAGTTGTATCCTTTTGGTGTTCTGCTGGGGTGTCGATTCTTTAACTGCTGTGATAAATAGGCAAGAAGAGAGAGATCGTGGCTGATAAACCTGTCTGTTGCCTTCCAGAGCCTGATGAGCTTCACTTTCCATCAGTCCAAATTATTAAGGCCAGGGACTAAGGATTGAGGGCATTGGAGTCTTAACATCTGAAAAATCAGAAGCTCCCCACCTTTAGTGTTTGATTAACTCTTGAAGCTAGAGTAAAGTCTTTGTTCCTTAACCATGTATTCAGATAGTGTTTGATGAATGTCACAAAGCTAAAAATCTTTGCCCTGTTGGCTCTTCGAAGCCAACCAAGACGGGCTTGGCTGTTTTGGAGCTGCAGAATAAGCTACCAAAGGCCCGAGTTATTTACGCGAGTGCCACAGGTACGTGCCGGCCGACCTCTGGATCAACCCTGTTGAGTGTGTTTCGTTTCTGCTTTTGTTTGACGGGAAGGCGGTGTTGATTTTTGAAATCAGGGCATTTGCTTTTCAGGTGCGTCGGAGCCACGCAACATGGCCTACATGAACCGTCTCGGGATATGGGGTGAAGGAACTCCTTTTAGGGAATTTAGTGACTTCATTCAGGCCGTTGAAAGAAGGTAACATTCTTGGATCTTCATGTCTTTCCAATAGTAAAATCTCGGGCATAACCCAGAGGTAGAGCACAAACATTACTTGTAATGACAAGGGTTTTGCTTTCACTATTCCTGTCTTAGTACTTTTACATTGTTTTATTTTGATACACATTTTCCGTATAACTTCTTTAATTACATGTTCTTTGTTTTGTCTTTTTTAAATTCATGTTTGAACCATCTTTTGGTTCTGTGCTGGATGAAGTGGATTAGGTACTTAATTAAAATAACACTCATATGCCAAAGACACTTGGTTCAGTGTATGTTAGTAAAGCCTAATAGGTATTCTGATTCAGTCTGATGCTGCTTCATATGAAGTGATCCTCATTATTCTTTTGCACATGGTTTCTGACCATTTCTGTTTTAAGGTAACAGTTCAGGGCTTGACTCTTGAAGTAATTATTTGCTGAGGTAAACCTAATTTAAACTCCCAATTTTTAACTTCAGACAATGTAGCAGAGTAATATACCTTGTCACAAGCTAGAGTCCTTTCAAGTTAAGGTTCGAAACCCTTTTAGTGCTAACCTTGGGAGACATGAAACCGCTTGTGGAAAGGCATTCTGAGAGAGACCTGTGCTGATCGATAATGGTGTCAGGGGAATCTGGTCCTGTTTTTGTACGTGTACATTTGTGTCACAAACCACAATCAGGTTGGATTCCATCGCGGTTCTCGACTTTTGGCCCTCTGTACGTTTGCGCCTTTTAATGCGAGAATTCGAGATGGGTGGGGCCACGGGAGAGTGAAGTCTATCTGCGGGGCCGCAGGTTGAAAGGTACTCCGTTACAGTCCAGAAAGATACTAGAACACTTGGCACAAGCGAGGTGATCCATATCTTGCAGCCTTTCTCCTGGTAAAGTTTAGTTTAGGTGTGCGAATTTTGTATGCATTATTTAGGAAACAAAATCCATTCTCTACTATATCCACAGAAGGCCTCTTCTTGCGCTGTGCTTCCTGGAACTTCTTTGTCTCTGTTCCTCATCCTTCAGCTTCGGTGCAGTATTAGGCTGTTCCAGTGTGTCCAGTAGCTTGCTGTCTGACAATTTCCATGTTTAAAATTATCTTTCTCTGTTCTTTTTTGCCTTTAGAGGTGTGGGTGCCATGGAGATAGTTGCTATGGATATGAAACTGAGGGGAATGTATATCGCAAGGCAGCTGAGCTTTTCAGGTGTGACCTTCAAAATAGAAGAAGTTCAGCTCTCTCAGCACTATGTTAAAATGTATAATAAATCTGTTCAGACTTTTGTATTTTGTAACTTGCATGTTGTGGCCAATCCCTGCTCTGACCCAGTCACATACAGCTATGCATAAATATAAGTCCCATTGAAATCAGTGGAGCATAGGTTAATTGTAACAGATTTATCCCATTTTCTTCAGTGGGATTAAATATAACCAAGTTCTTTGGATGGGTGAGGTTTCTTAGGCTGTTTTCAGTATGGGGATTAAAAATGTGTCCATAAAGTTGGTTCTTTGTGGACTCTTTGAATTGGAATTCTAATAGGTAAATCAGTAACCATAGCTGTAAGAGTTGTAGCAGCCAGCTGTTAAACTTTTAAGCTTATTTTGCACATCATTGTGTGACCGTAAGCACCGGCACCGCATCGGATTCCTTCTTTAATGTTTTGCCTTGCTTGATGACATCGCTTGGTGCAAATTCCTTGTGATTTATAGAAAATAACCGGAACTCGGCGGTCTTCCTTTTTCAGTGGGTGAGTGCCAGGGAAAAGTTTCAGCAAGCCGCTGACCTCATCGATGCTGAACAACGGATGAAGAAGTCCATGTGGGGCCAGTTTTGGTCTGCCCACCAGCGGTTTTTCAAGTATCTCTGCATAGCCTCCAAAGTGAAAAGGGTGGTCCAGCTGGCCCGAGAAGAGATAAAAAATGGCAAAGTAAGTTTTTCAAGATGGCCTTGGCGGGGGGAACGCTTTCCAGCCAAGAATGTGTTCCTTTCCCCATGGGAGCGGGAGTGTCAAGTAGCCGTGTTCCTTCTTTAATTTGGATGTAAACAGGGTGTGTGTCCTTTTCTCCTTCCAGTGCGTGGTCATTGGGCTGCAGTCCACAGGAGAGGCGAGAACCTTAGAAGCTTTGGAGGAAGGTGGCGGTGAACTGAACGACTTTGTTTCCACAGCAAAGTAAGACCTAGGTGTCAGTTATACAAGTTTTGGGGGAGAACTGCTTCTGATGCTCTTAAAATTCAAAGCGTTGTATAGTTAAAAAAAAAAAAGAATGTGTGAAACATTTTCAGTAGAGGACAAAGGAAGGGCACATCGGGATGAAGGTAGAATCGGGCGGATTAATGAGCCGTGCTCAAGGGCATCGTTAAATCTCAAGATATCCTAGCAGCAGCCGAGTTTTAAAATGTCGAGGAGGAAAGGTTTTGTGGCTGATTCTTCACAGAGAAAGGCAGCAGAGGTACTCATGCTTTATCCTTTTTTTATATAATTCTGCAGGGGAGTATTTCAGTCTCTCATTGAGAAGCATTTCCCGGCTCCCGACAGGAAGAAGCTTTTCAGCTTGTTAGGCATAGATTTGTCTGTTCAAAGTAATCACAATTCTCCGAGGGACAGTCCTTGCAAGGAAGACAAAGTGAAGAAACGCAAAGGTAAGGCTCACCATTCTTTTTGAAGTTGGAATGCTAATCAGTGCGTTAATTTTTTTAGTTGGGGGGGGGGAACACTTGAATAAGTCACTGATCAGTGCTGTTCACAGGAGTGCAAATGGGGCTGATCTGCTTTGCTATCCCGGGAACATAAGCTGCAGCGGGCTTTTACACACATCAAATGCCATTTTTTGTCACTTAAGGGTGTCAGTGGCTACCTTGCACCTACCCCTACCATATATATGACTTTTTACCTTCAGTGCCTTCCTCCTTCCTAGGAAGCCTGAAAAATTCGGCCTTTTTTGCAAATGGTGCTCAATGAAATTTTGAGGATTCAATAACATATTGAGGGGATGAAGGGTGTGCTTGTATAATTATTAAAAAAAGAATAGATAGTAGAATTCCGCCTTCCGCGTGATGGTTCTCGGTGTTTGTAGAATTGTTTCCTTCCTAGACTTCCACTGCAAAGCAGATATGGAAGCATCAGTGACCTTACTGAAAGCTTGTCCTCAAACTAGCTACTTGCTGACTAAAATATGCCCCTGCTTCTGCCATTGTTCATCTCTGCAACCACTAGTCATCATTGTTAATGCAGTTGTAGTTCTCCCGTGCAGAGGCCTCCAGCTGTGTTTTTTATAGACCGTAGGGTTGACAGATATCAGCTCAGCTGATATTTTGTGCAAATTTCCAACCTTCCGAATACTTCAACATCTGTATGTTGGTAAGCCATAAATCATCAAGGATGGACACAATGGCCCTCCAGATGTGGCTGGTTGTAATTCTCATCAACTCTCACCAGCACCGAAGGATGCTGGAAATTTCCATCTGATAACATCTGAAAGCTGACATACATTTTCCCATCCTTGCTGTAGAGGGTGATGGTAGACTAAGGGCCTCTGATAACACTGGTTTATTCCCTTATGCATGAAAAAAAAAGGTGAAGAAATAACCAGAGAAGCGAAGAAAGCACGTAAAACGGGCGGATTAGCTGGCAGCAGTTCTGACGAAAGCTACAGTGAATCGGAAAACTCTGATAATGAGGAGAGTGATAACGAGAGTTCCCGGTTCTTAAGCTCTGGGGATGATGATGACTTCAACCCATTTCGAGATGAATCTAGCGAGGACGATGAGGACGGTGAGAAAACGTGCATTTTTTTTTATTTGTAGATTCTTTGAAGTGGTATCGTTCTGTTGTGCATCCTATAACCATTTATGACAGTAGGAACCAAGTACTGAAGGAAGCATTTCGAAACAAAAATCCTTTCTAAAGCAACCACTTTTCATGCCTGTTCAGATTTTTTTTTGGTTTCGTTTTCCTATTTTAATATTTTTTTAAATTCCCTTCAGACCCTTGGCTAATAAGAAAAGAACACAAGAAGAATAAAGAAAAGAAAAAAAAGAAAAGCATAGACCCAGATTCTATACAGAGTGCCTTACTAGCGTCCGGTCTTGGATCCAAACGGCCTAGTTCCCTCTCTTCCACAGTGGTTACCTCTTCTACCACGCACACGTCAAGTAGGTGGAACGTTCAGTTTCTCAGTTTGGGTTTTGAAGGTGGAATTCTCCCAGCAGTGACCTGTTTTCATATGATCTTCTGTTCCCCCCTTTTTTGTGTGTGTGTGTGTAATCTCCAGCACATAGTAACACCCATAACAGCTATGTAACAAGTCAAGATGCTGTTGAAAGAGCCCAGCAGATGAAGAAAGAACTGCTTGACAAGCTAGAGAACCTCTCGGAAGATCTTCCTCCAAATACACTGGATGAACTTATCGATGAACTTGGTGGTCCTGAGAATGTGGCTGAGGTAGGAGTGGGACCTTGAATAGATCGCTGGTGGTGGTGCGGTCAATAAAGCTTTGTAGTCCGCATAGTGAGAAGGATTGTTTAGCGATTGTTCTCATCCGTGTGATGAGAATGGCAGACCAGATCGGAGTCTTCTCTCTCTAGGAAACCTTGAAAAGAGAATTCAAGGCTGATATTGGAAGAAGGAATGGGTGCCTGAAAGGCTCCCATACCATGCTGAAGCAGATCACTTTTTTTCTCTCAGATGACAGGTCGCAAAGGGCGAGTTGTGAGTAACGATGATGGCAGCATCTCCTACGAGTCAAGATCTGAGCTTGACGTCCCTGTTGAGATTTTAAATATTACAGAGAAGCAGAGATTCATGGACGGGGATAAGGTAGCAATTTTGTTTATACTTCATCTTTGCACAGAACTTGTCTGGGCATCCCTTTGTCAAGGAGGACAGAAGCAAAACTGTGTCGGTTTGGAAACCATATTCTGTTTTGGCTTCAAGAGGAAAAGAGCAGACCTTAACAATTATGAGCATCCCATGCCACTTACATTTACCTCCTTTTGAACAGTAAAATTAGAATGTCTGCAGGTTGCAGAAAGACCTTGCTGAAAATAGGAAGTTTTTTTCTGTCTAACTTGCCTAAGGAAGGAAGATA